CAAGAGCAATTTAGAATTATTGAAAAACATCCAGAACTTATAAAAGCTGGCAAAATCTTTATCCACGGAGAAAATTGGTTTTATGGAGTTGCTACTCCTACTAATACTCCTACCACCGCCACTACACCGTTAAGTACTGGTAGTGATAGTTATCTCGGTGGTGAGAAAAGCGAGGAAGTAATAATGGCCAAATATGTAACCAACGTAGAAGAGAAGAAAGAAGTTGGAAATGATCTTATGGATGAGGAGGAAATTGATGAAATGAATTATATAGGAGAAACGATAAAACAAGTCTATACTCATCCTTGTGATAAAAAAGATGATTTGAAATTAATAACAGAAAATGAAATCTATGACGATGATGGTAATGATGATGATAATATGAAAATGGATTATGTCAAAGATGATGGTGGTGATGATATTAAGATCCAAAAGCACTTATTACAGCGTTTAGATGATAAACAATTGGTAGCCATTGAAGAAATTGTAGAAGTAATACATATTGTTTTATCTGAATTAAATATGCAAGTTTCTTAACTTAGAGTTAATAATTGTCGTTGTTAACATATAATTATCTTTACTATTCTTGTATTTTATTTATTACTATTTTTTGTGTTTCAAATTCTATTTTGTCACATTTTACAACCAATCAATTCAAACTAAACCATATCAAAATAAAATAAAAATGTCTTTTAAAAATTATATTATTGTTGGAGGAGGTATATCCGGATTGACTACAGCATGGTGTTTAGCTCGTTATGCACCTTCAACAACAAAAATAACATTATTAGAAGCATCAAATAGATTTGGTGGATGGATAGAAAGCAAAAGAGTTGGAAATCATCAAATACTTTTTGAGCAAGGGCCAAGAACTATTAGACCTGCAGGAATAGGAGGTTTATTGATATTAGATATGGTTTATATATAAAATTTTTTTTACTTACCATATTTTTAATTAATTTATAAAAACTAAAAAAACCCCTTGAATTCTAGACAAATAAATTAAATTTAACATCATCAATACTTTCAGTAACAAAATATGATCCATCAGCAATAAATAGATTCATTTATTATCCAGACAAACTTGTCAAATTGTCAAGTTCATCAGTGCTATCTCACATTAAAACATTAATAACCAATAAATTCATGTGGAAAATAATAATTGGAATAATACAAGAGCCATTTATACCTATGATATCTAAAGAAATTTCTGATGAAAGTATCGAGGCATTTATTACAAGAAGACTTGGTTCAACTGCTTCCCAAGTCTTGATGAGTTCTTTAGTACATGGCATTTATGCAGGTGACGTAAGTAAGCTATCAATAAGATCTACATTTAATAAATTGTACGAATTGGAAAGAAATCATTAAAGGATTAACAAAATCTTCAGTTAATACTACAATGTTTTCTGATGAGCTTGATAAAATGCTATATGATAACATGGTTGAAGAAAATAAAGAGATCTTTAATTTTGTATCTGGAATTAGCTTGTTTTCATTTAAGAATGGAATTGAAGAATTTGTCGATGCCATTGTTAAGGATTTACAAACCAAAGAAAATATAGAAATTAAAACTGGTCATGAAGTAAAAGAAATGGTGTTTGGAAATGATTGTGTTGAAGTAATTATTGTCTTATATATATATATTTTACTTGAGTAAATTTTTTCATTCATGAAATTATTATTTTGTTTCCTTTTTTTCCTTAGGTTCATACAAATAAAGAATCCATTTGCTCTGATCATGTTATTAGCACCATTCCATCAAATATTCTTTATGATATACTTCCAAAAGACTATAAATTTTCGCAACTTAAATATAACCCATCAGTATCAGTAGCCATAGTAAATTTTTCATATGATCAACCTAATATTTTACCTGTAAAAGGATTTGGATATTTAATACCAAAATCAACACAAAACAATCTCCATAATGTATTAGGGGTGGTTTTTGATTCATGCACAATGCCATATCAGGATGAACTATTCAACAACTTTACAAAATTGACTGTAATGATGGGTGGTCATTATTATAATGATAACTTTGATAATCAACAAAAGCTTTTTAGTGAGGAGGAATTATTAAATCAATCATTGGAAATTTTAGAAAATCATTTAGGTATTTACAACACACCTGCTGATTACTCAGTTAAATTAGCAAGAAATTGCATACCACAATATTATGTAGGTCACTATGATAGAATGAAAGAATTACATTATGAGATAAAATCTAAATTAAAAAATAGATTAAGTGTTGGTGGTGCTAGTTATTGGGGTGTTAGTTTGAATGATTGTGTGCTGAATTCTACAAAATTGGTTTTGAAACTACTTAAAAATAATGAAATTATTACTGGGCTAGAGAAAGTTGAACAATTTAATAGATAAAAAAATTTAAATTAAAATCAAATCTAAATTAATAAATTAATGGATGATTCTGATTCATATTTAAATAGTTTGATTTTTTACAATTTCATCAAAATTTTTTTTATCTTTAACAAAATATCTCATATAATCAGCCTCTAGTATATGTAGTTTACTCCCTACTATAACAAGCGAATGTAACGGAGGCCCAAAGTCCTCCTCAAGCAATTGAATTAATGTACCTCCTATAATTTTTTGTTCAGTGATTGAACCAAGACAAGCAATTCCTATACCTATTGTTCCACCTGTATAAGCTAATTGATGTATATGCATTTATAATTAGAAATTTTTATGTCGAAAATTATTATAATTATTATAAATTAGACTTATTACCTTTCTCTTGTCGAATTTCTTCAATTTCTAATAATTGTTGAATTGCTTGGTTCACTGTCATATAACGTGGTGGTTCATAAATTTTATTACCTCTAATGTTGAAAATAATTTTAGAATTTAATAATAATAATAATAATAATAATAATAATAATAATAATAATAATAATAATAATAATAATAATAATAATAATA